TTTATTTTGCATCTACCTACCACTTCAGCTGTTTATTAAAAATAAAAATAATAATAATAATAAAGGGAGAAATGTGGGATCCACATATAAATCAAGTATAAAAATCAAATGAATATTCATATTTGACCTGATTGTTTATAGTTCATGTGTGATCAGAACCGAACGTTTCTGTGATGAATGCCCTTGTACTGTTCACCATGTAAGAACTTATTCACTATGTAAGAATTCGTTCACTATGTAAGAATGTGTTCGTTATGCTTCAGAAGATTGGAGACTGACAAGAACTAGGCTTGAGATGGATTAATAATTGTGCATTGAGCATTGACCCCCCCAATACAGAATTTTATTGTTGTTAACAAACATTTGATCAATAAATATGAGATGCCCTCTCAAAAAAATATACAAATAGCTAAGGTAATTTTAAACGATATTAAGACATATTGCAAAGTTACATTAATTAAGACAGTGTTGTACTGGGAAAGGAAGTGACATGTATCAATGGAATAGTAAGCTCATCTCATGTTTATGAGAACTTGGTATGTAATGAAAAGGGGAAAATATATATTATTTAGTAGATGGTGTTAGAAAAACTGATTATAACCCTACTCTGCATGCCCAGCAGACATTCACACTTACAAAACCCAACAGGATATAACGTGGCACCAAGGTCACTTAGCCTGGTAGAAGGATACAGCACAGTGAACATGACATGTGGAGGAGAGCATCCTCCTTAGGTAAGTCTCATGCTACAGAAACTACTATCTTGTAAAAGGTAGGTTTCAAGTCTCCACAATGACAAACAAGCTTGCTTACCAGCCATACCTCACTCAGGGAAATCTCAAACATTGTGCCTTTTCTTTTTCCAATAAAAAATGTTGCTTCGTAAGCAGCTTGCATTCTATATTGACCGTAACCCAATAGATTTCCAGGGAAATCATGCTAGGGAGAAGGCAAACTCAAGATCATTCTCCTATAGAGAGAAGGGGTTTTATTAACTCTTTCCCTTTAATTACTAGGTGGGAGAAAAAACTGGATTCATATCTCATGCTATATCCAAAAATAAATTCCAATTAAATTAAAGACCTAAGTATAAAAGGTAAACCTATAAAACTGATAGAACAAGACCCTTTATAAAGAACACAAATTATTGGGAACATTAAAAATTTCTATCCCATGAAGGACACCAAAAAATTAACAAATGACAAGACTAAGTTATTTCCTACATCTAAATCTGACAATGGTAACATCTATAATATTTAAAGAATATATTGCATAATAAAAAGAGAAAAACCTAGTAGAAAAATGGGCATTATAAGTATAAAATTTTCCACAGAATGGAAAAGCAGGATGACTAGAAAGCATTAGCTTAGACTTATCATTAATCAGACAATGCAGAATAAGACAAAAAATTTTCAAATAGACAACTGTTATCAGAAAATATCAAGTCCTACTGAAGATATAGGTTTAATGAAACCCTCATGTTTCTTTGGGTTAAATGTAAACTGGTACAACCATTCCTGCGAACAGGCCACCAATACTTAGCTGAAATTAAGTATGCATATACCCTAAACTCCAGCCATTCTACTCCAGGACATATATACACAGGGCAGCTTCACAGGAAGACATGTACAAGTTTGTAAAAGTAGGAACTGCTGGGGAACAAACTAAGCATCCATAACTACAGGACAAGATAAACTATGGTATGTGAATGCAACAGAAAAGGCACCAGTCAGAGACATGCTATATACACTAACAGGAGTAGGTCTTTAAAATCTAGTATTTTATGAAACTTAGAAGTGATATTTATACCACAAAACATTTATCTAAAGTCAAAAACACACAAAGCAAATATTATATAGTTTTCCAAGGAAATATATAAAAAATTTTGAAAGATGGCTTGGAAGGATAGACATTAGAGTAGGGAATGAAGAGTATGGAGTTGCAGGCAGAAGAAAAACTATTATAGTACAATAAAACAGAAGGAAAGTGTATCCTTTCTAAACCAGTGATATTGGTGTGATTAATAAACAATATGATTGATGACTGACTCAGTTCTGAGCACCTGAGATCCTTAAGAAATAAAACATTTATTTTACATGAGCAGAAACACTGTTAAGACATGTTAGGTTATTTAAACACTACGTCTTTAAATGTGAAAAACTAGTCATGGGGTATAATATAATAAGTATCCCAAAAGATTTTTGAGTTAGATGACTTTTAAAGAAACAGATCATTCTCCCAAATAAGCTAAGCTAAATAAAAAGCTATATAATATGAAAAGGACATTTCAATATTGAAAAAACAGAATTTTTTGTGTTGAATATTCTGTTCTTCTAAGTTAGGACGTCTTGGTGTTCAGCAAAATAAATTTAAATTACATTTTAGGCAAAGTTATAAGTAGAAGTGAACTATTTTGATTTTTAAGTATGTGTAAATCTGAAATTCTTGACATACTTTGTGACATTTTTACAGAATGTAGAAAGTTTAAATATACATGAGAAAAAATTGTAAAACATATAATTGCTATAAAAACCTTACTTTTGATTGTGCTTTATATTTCTTAAAAATCTTTCTCATGTGAGGCAGATGTAGCACCTATCTCCAATGTTATCAGTGAAGAAACAGAAATAATGTGAGTTAAATCTTACAGTTAGTAGTAGTATTGTCCAAACTGGAAATCTAGGTCCACCAAAACCTAGATTTGTGATTATTTTTATTTAATGCATCTTCTAGGTAAGTTTTATGTAAATGTATTTTTCTTTAAATTACAAGGAAACACATTATTTGCAGTAGTTATTATGCAAAATGAGATGAAGAAAAATAGACTTTTTATATTAATTTCAATCCTTAAAGAGTTAACAGCTTAGCTTCAAAAAATATCTATTAAGTTTAATATATTTTTATTTATCCAGTAAAGGTAACTTTAAAATCTACTAAAAATAAAATTTTAACTGAAGAACAGTTTATTTTTTCATTAAAGAAATACAAGATGAAAGACAGCTGTATTCAAATAAATATATAATTACGACAATTGACAGACTGAACTATGTAAACAAATAAAATGTTAAAACATGAGAATTTTGTTCTTTTTTCCTTTCTAAACTGATAAAATCCAATCAGAAAAAAATTGTAAATGAAACCTGTTTTCTCACTGTAACTTGTGATTATTGAATTGAAAATATTTTGATTTCAGTAATATCTGTAAATTGGCATTCCTCAAATAAGTTCCTTAAAATAACAATATTTGAGCCTTGAACATTGCACTTAATCTAAAAAAAAACATACTAAAATTGTCATTGATAAAAAATTTTACAAAATTTTATTCTAGCCCTAATTGCTTTTCTAAAATTTTAATATAGAAAAGGAATTTACAGACACAAATAGCTAACAGTTGGATAATGTATATTGTAATTTAGCATACTTAACTAAAAAATAAATACCCTAAGAAAAGTGAAATTGTTTTGTCATTTATTGTGTGTTATATTCCTTTCCCTATACATCTTTAAAAGCAGTCACAAATTCTATCGTAAAGGCCCACCTTTTCTACCCTTAATAGCACTAACAACATTTCATCTCTACTTTACTTCTAGAATTCAATTTAGGCCTTCAACACCAAATTTCATAATTTATCAAAAATTTATTTCAAGAACAAAATTTCCATAAATAACTAACAAAACAAAGCAGAAACTCTACTGTAGAATACAAACAGAAAATAATATACAAGAAAGTTTATCTCCTCTACCTAAAGACTAACATCTGGGTGTTAGGCCTAAGATAAATTATACTATCTTATTATTTTTTCTGCATAGAGTGAACATTTGTTATTTTGAATGATGTTTATTATATTGTCATTTCAAAAGAGAGGTTCCCAAGAAGCCTTTAGTAAAGTTCTATGTGAGTATATATTTGGTTCCTGTATGTTTTAGTCTGAACTGCTCTAGAATTATTCAATGAACAAAAAGTCTGTAAGAAAAAAGGTGAAGTACCAAACCAAAATCTTTACCAAATAACTCCAAGTTTTCAACAATATCTGTAAATGTATTCTTGTACACCTGTATTCCTGATAGTATTATTTTGTAGTATAATCACAGCAAGTAGACAAAATCTCCAGTTTTGTGGGAAAATATTCAGTGTACTGAAATTTAACTGCATTTGAAGTATTTAAGCAAAAAAACAAGTCAAACAGCATTATCATATTGCCAAATGGCATCAGCATTTTATTTATAGTCTCAGTAGTAAAAATTAAATCTAAAATAAATGTGTATCCAATATGACACATTTTCAATGTATAAAGAACAGCCTGAATGTGGAATTTCAAAAGGAATTAAACTAGGTAAATGTACAGAATCTATGAAAATATTCAAAATCATTATTGGTAGAATTGACTATATCATTAAGTGCACTCATGGCCAAAGAAACTAAATCTTTCATATGTTCTGACTCATCCAGGATGAAAATTAGTTATATTGTGAATGGACAAAATGTTATATTATCCTCAGAAGCAATGGAAATAATCTGTAAGAAAGATAAATTTCAGCTTTTTACTAGCTGAGAAACTATGTGGGCTAAATATCACTCTAGAACTATCTCCTTCACAATGCTTCTAGTGGCATGTTCAAGATAAATTTTTAAAAATACAGTAAGAGATAACAGTACCAATTGCAAGTAGATGAAAACATATTACTGTCTAAAGCAAACCCAAGACTGAATATAATACAGATTAGAAAATTTTTATTATTCAGTTTAATTAAAGTTATAAAAAAATTAGACTTTTTGCCTGTTCTCATGTTATTGTTTGATATCTGAGGATTCCAAGTAAATTAATCTAGAACTTTACAGAGCATTAATGATGCCTACAGTAGCAGTGCATTCTATGGTTCATCAGACTTATTCTTCCAATAAACATAGGGTTTCAAATAAGATGAAAATGACAGCAGCCCCCATAATCTTAAAATGCAGGTGAAATAAACATCCTCATGGTCCAATAACTTGTAAAATGTAACCAGGTCACTAGACCAACATACTAGTGTACAACTTTATTAATAATTTCTAGCAGCAAAACACCTGGAATAGCCATTAAGAAAATGTGTTCATTGGATTTTACATTAATTTCTTTGTAAGAAGTAATTTTTAAAAAGTACTCTGAAGTATAGTTCAACCGCAGGCAAACACGAAAGATATCAAAGATCTTGTTTATCACCACTTTTTCCAGTGGAATCAGGTGCAACTGGAACCTTACTAGTTTCAACAAAAACAGATTCAAAGGCAGCTTCCTGTTCATCCAAAGAATCAACAGGCGTGGATCCTTTAATTAGTGTAGTGTTGGTAAAAGACGGTTGCTGCTTGGAAATTTTACTGGATTGCATTTTTTTTCTACCTCTTCTTTTACCGAGGATTTTGACATAGTTAGCAGGTATAAGTCCTGTTGCTCGACCATCAAGACTAGCCAGAAGCCAACCACGCACTTTGGGTTGCTGTTCTGATAGAAGAAAAGACATCCTTGTAATTATAACATACTTTGGAGGTTCAACAGAATATTGAGAGTAAAATATTAAGTAAAATCTGTGTTACAATTACATAATAAAACATAAAATATACAAATAGTATATATACAAACACTCAAAATCAAATGAGTAGGCTTAACAGTTCAAGAGTCCCTTCTTATAATTTGTACTTTTTTATACTTACTAAATATTTATTTCAACCTTGAAGAACATAGTTTATGTCAGTTGGTAAAATAGGGTAAGGAGATTCAGATCTCTCAAAAGCTGAAAACATCAATGTCTTTCATATTTTTATTTTTATTATTATTTTTATATTGAGGTACATAAAATAAAATGCAGAAATCTTAGCATACAGCTTGATGAATTCTGACATGTGTATACACTCATGTAACCATCACCGAGATCAAGATGTCACTCATCTTTTACATTTTAAATTGGAATTTAAGGAATGAACTTGTCATTCCTTCTCAATAGGGTAAGTTTGGGGCAAGTATAGAAAATATTTGCCTTTATATAAGCCAACTCTCTTTACATACTTTTGACCAAAATATAGAAGTCATTGTAGTGTGATTATGATGGACAATCCTGAAGACAGTAAATGTTAATTTAAATCCATAATGGACAAAAATGAAGACCTCAGTTATCCCTGGTCACATGACAAAAAGTTAAAGGCAATACTCTAAGCTTAAAGTAGGAAAGGTGGTTTGATTCATTTGGTTTTGTATTTTGGTATTCTCTCACTTAGCCATGTATTTTAAAAAGTTGTTTGGCTCTTGGAGTTTTAGTTCAACATTATAATTTAGGCACATTACATTTTTATGTTTAATATTCTATAATAAAGAAAAAAAACACTTATATTAACCCTGTCTGTAACCCTAATATCTTTATCAACAAAATATGACTTTTGTTCTAAAAGCACAAATGTACTTTACTTGATAGAGGAAAGCAAAGAAACAAAGCCAAACGTTAAGAGGCACTAGTCATTGAAGAATAACATGACATAAGAAATGTTTCTCAAATATTATAATGTAATAAAGGGCAACAATACTTGATGCTTTATTCCTTAGATTAACTAAAATTGATTATCTGTATTGGTCCTATCTCTAATAATAAGCCTTAAAAAGGAATCATTTTTTTTGAAATCTGAAATAGCAAGATTCTACTTTCACTAGAAGAAAAACATGAATATAATACCTATAAACCTAGGTTTTGTATATAAAGGGATGAGGCAGAAATTTAGGAAATTTGATCCTGATTTTTTAATTATTTACACATTAAAACTAATGATTTGAAAATTGAAGGTATTTTTTTCCTTACATAAGGAGTGACTACAACCAATTAAAGTCAAAAGTTTCCATTAATAGATCACACAGAAAACAGCCAAAGTGATTAAAGGACAGGTTCTAAAGTCAGACAAACCTGGGTTCATAGTCTAGCTCCTCTAAATCTTAGCTTTGTGATACTGGACAATTTACTCATCCTGAGTCTTAGTCTTCTCATGTGCAAAATGGGGACAAGATAATAACAGTACCCACTTCACAGTATTATTATAAAGTTAAATGAAATATGTAAAATACAATGCCTTATACATAGTATTCTATAAATGACAACTGTTATTATTGTTACTAATGTCTTTACCAACAAAATATGACTTTTTGTGGCAAGCCTGAATCCCAAACACAATCTTTTTTTTTTGAATTTTTATATTTTTATTAAGGTATTATTGATATTCACTCTTATGAAGGTTTCACATGAAAAAACAATGTGATTACTACATTTATCCATATTATCAAGTCCCCACCCATACCCCAGTCACTGTCTATCAGTGCAGTAAGATGCCACAGATTCACTGTTTGCCTTCTCTGTGCTACAGTTTTCCCCGCGACCCCCGACACCATGTTTACTAAACATAATACCCCTCAATCCCCTTCTCCCTCCCTCCCCACTGGCACTCTCATACCTCTCCTCTTTGGTAACCACTAGTCCTTTCTTGGAGTCTGTGAGTCTACTGTTATTTTGTTCCTTCAGTTTTGCTTCATTGTTATACTTCACAAATGAGGGAAATCATTTGGCAATTGCCTTTCTCCACCTGGTGCAATTAACTGAGCATATCCTCCAGTTACATCCATGTTGTTGCAAATAGTAGGATTTGTTTCTTTCTTATGGCTGAATAGTATTCCATTGTGTATATGTATCACATCATCTTTATCCATTCATCTACTGAAGGACACTTAGGTTGCTCCCATATCTTGGCTACTGTAAATAGTGCTGTTATAAACATAGGGGTGCATATGTCTTTTCGAATTTGAGAAGTTGTATTCTTTGGGTAAATTCCAAGGAGTGGGATTCCTGGGTCAAATGGTATTTTTATTTTTAGTTTTTTGAGGACCCTCCATATTGCTTTCCACAATGGTTGAACTAGCTTACATGCCCACCAGCAGTGTAGGAGGGTTCCCCTTTCTCCACATCCTTGCCAGCATTTGCTGTTCTTAGTCTTTTTAATGCTGGCCATCCTTACTGGTGTGAGATGAAATCTCACTGTGGTTTTAACTTGCATTTCACTGATGATTAGTGATGTGGAACATCTTTTCATGTGTCTGTTGGCCATCTGAATTTCTTCTTTAGAGAACTATCTCTTCATATCCTCTGCCCATTTTTGATTGGGTTATTTGCTTTTTGAGTGTTGAGGTATGTGAGTTCTTTATATATTTTGGTTGTTAACCCCTTGTCAGATATATCATTTACAAATATATTCTCCATACTGTAGAATGCCTTTTTGTTCTGTTGATGGTGTCCTTGCCATACAGAAACTTTTTAGTTTGATGTAGTCCCATGAGTTCATTTTCGCTTTTGTTTCCCTTGCTTAAGGAGATGCATTTAGGAAGAAGCTGCTCATGCTTATATTCAAGAAATTTTTGCTATTTTTTCTTCTCTAAGTTTTATGCTTTCATGACTTACATTCAGGTCTTTNTGCACTGAATCTGTAGATTTCTTTAGGCAGGATGGCCATTTTGACAATATTAATTCTTCCTGTCCATGAGCACGGGATGTGTTTCCACTTATTGGTATCTTCTTTAAATTCTCTCATGAGTGTCTTATAGTTTTCAGAGTATACGTTTTTCACTACCTTGGTTAGGTTTATTCCTAGGTATTTTATTCTTTTTGATGCAATTGTGAACGGAATTGTTTTCCTGATTTCTCTTTCTGCTACTTCATATTAGCGTATAGGAATGCAAGAGATTTCTGTGCATTAATTTTGTATCCTGCAACTTTACTGAATTCAGATATTAGATCAGAAGTTTTGGAGTGGATTCTTTAGGGTTTTTTATGTACAGTATCATGTCATCTGCAAATAGGGATAGTTTAACTTCTTCCTTGCTAATCTGGATGCCTTTTATTTCTTTGTGTTGTCGACTGCCATGGCTAGGACCTCCAGACCTATGTTGAATAAAAGTGGGGAGAGTGGGCATCCCTGTCTTATTCCCGATCTTAAAGGAAAAGCTTTCAGCTTCTTGCTGTTAAGTATAATGTTGGCTGTGGGTTTTTCATATGTGGCCTTTATTACTATGAGGTGCTTGCCCTCTATACCCATTTTGTTGAGAGTTTTTACCATGAATGGATGTTGAATTTTGTCAAATGCTTTTTCAGCATCTATGGAGGTGATCATGTGGTTTTTGTCCTTTATGTTAATGTGGTGGATGATGTTGATGTATTTTTAAATGTTGTACCATCTTTCCATCCCTGGAATAAATCCTACTTGATCATGATGGATGATCTTTTGATGTATTTTTGAATTTGGTTTGCTAATATTTTGTTGAGTATTTTTGCATCTATGTTCATCAGGGATATTGGTCTGTAGTTTTCTTTTTTGGTGGTGTCTTTGCCTGGTTTTGGTATTAGAGTGATTGTGACCTCGTAGAATGAGTTTGGGAGTATTCCCTCTTCTACTTTTTGGAAAACTTTAAGGAGGATGGGTATTAGGTTCTCACTAAATGTTTGATAAAATTCAGCAGTGAAACCATCTGGTCCAGGAGTTTTATTCTTAGGTAGCATTTTGAGTATCAGTTCAATTTTGTTGCTAGTAATTGGTTTGTTCAGATTTTGTTTATTTCTGGGTTAGCCTTGGAAGGTTGTATTTTTCTAGAAAGTTGTCCATTTCTTGGTTATCCAGTTTGTTAGCATATAGATTTTCATAGTATTCTCTAATAATTCTTTGTATTTCTGTGGTGTCTGTTGTGATTTTTCTTTTCTCATTTCTGATTCTGTTTTTGTGTGTAGACTCTCTTTTTTTCTTGATAAGTCTCGCTACGGTTTTGTCTATTTTGTTTATTTTCTTGAAGAACCAACTCTTGCTTTCATTGATTCTTTCTATGGTTTTATTCTTCTCAATTTTATTTATTTCTGCTCTAATCTTTATTATGTCCCTCCTTCTACTGACTTTGGGCTTCATTTCTTCTTCTTTTTCTAGTTTCATTAGTTGTGAGTTTAGACTGTTCATTGGGATTATTCTTCTTTCCTGAGGTATGCCTGTATTGTAATATACTTTCCTCTTAGCATGGCCTTCACTGCATCCACAGATTTTGCAGGGTTTAACTATTGTCATTTGTCTCCATATATTGCTTGATGTCAGTTTTTATTTGGTCATTGATCCATTGATTATTTAGGAGTATGTTGTTAAGCCTCTATGTGTTTGTGGGATTTTTCACTTTCTTTGTCTATTTCTAGTTTCTTACTTTTGTGGTCTGAGAAACTGGTTGGTACAATTTCAATCTTTTTGAATAAATTTACTGAGGCTCTTTTTGTGGCCTAGTAGATGATCTATTCTTGAAAATGTTCCATGTCCACTTGAGAAGCATGTGTATTCTGCTGCTTTTGGGTGTAGAGTTCTGTAGATGTTTGTTAGGTCCATCTGATCTAATGTGTTCTTCAGTGCCTCTGTCTCCTTACTTACTTCTGTCTGGTTCATCTGTCCTTTGGAGTGAGTGTAGTGTTGAAGTCTTCTAGAATGAATGCATTGCATTCTATTTCCCCTTTTAATTCTGTTAGTATTTGTTTCACATATGTAGGTGCTCCTGTGTTGGGTACATAGATATTTATAATGGTTATCTCTTCTTGTTGGATTGACCCCTTTACCATTATATAATCTTCTTCTTTGTCTCTTGTTACTTCCCTTGTTTTGAAGTCTATTTTGTCTGATATAAGTACTGCAATTCCTGTTTTTTTCTCTCTATTAATTGCATGAAGTATCTTTTTCCATCCCTTCACTTTCAGTCTGTTTATGTCTTTGGGTTTAAAATAAGGCTCTTGTAGGCAGCATATAGATGGGTCTTGTTTTTTTATCCATTCAGTTACTCTATGTCTTTTGAATGGGGCATTCAGTCCATTTACATTTAGGGTGATTATTGATAGGTATGTACTTATTGCCATTGCAGGCTTTAGATTCGTGGTTACCAAAGGTTCAAGGATAACTTCCTTACTATCTAAGAGTCTAACTTAACTCGCTTAGTGTGCTATTACAAACACAATCTAAAGGTTCTTTTCTTTTTTCTTCTCCTTTGTCTTCCTCCATTTTTTATATATTAGGTATCATATTCTGAACTCTATCTATCCTTTGATTGCCTTTGGGGGTAGTAGATTTAATTTTGCATTTGCTTAGTAATTGCCTGTTCTACTTTCTTTACTATGGTTTTATTACCTCTGGTGACAGCTATTCAACCTTAGGAACACTTCCATTTATAGCATTCCCTCCAAAATAGACTGTAGAGATGGTTTGTGGGAGGTAAATTCTCTCAGCTTTTGCTTATGTGGAAATTGCTTAATCCCTCCTTCAAATTTAAATGATAATCTTGCCAGACAAAGTATTCTTGGTTTGAGGCCCTTCTGCTTCATTGCATTAAATACATCATGCCACTTCCTTCTGGCTTGTAGGGTTTCTGCTGAGAAGTCTGATGATAGCCTGATGGGCTTTCCTTTGTATGTGATCTTATTTGTCCCTCTGGCTGCTTTTAATAGTCTGTCCTTATCCTTGATCTTTGCCATTTTAATTATTATGTGTGTTGGTGTTGTCTTCCTTGGGTCCCTTGTGTTGGGAGATTCGTTCACCTCCATGGCCTGAGAGACTATCTCCTTCCCCAGATTGGGGAAGTTTTCAGCAATTATCTCCTCAAAGACACTCTGTATCTCTTTTTCTCTCTTCTTCTTCTGGTACACCTACAATGCGATATTGTTAATTTGGATTGGTCACACAGTTCTCTCAATATTCTTTCATTATTAGAGATCATTTTTTCTCTCTGTGCCTCAGCTTCTTTGTATTCCTCTTCTCTAGTTTCTATTTCATTTATCATCTCCTCCACTGTATCTAAAATGCTTTTAAAACCTTCCATTGTATGTTTCATTTCTGATACTGTGTTTCCTAATGATTGGATCTCCATTCAGAATTCTTTCCTGAGTTCTTGAATATTTTTCTGTACCTTCATGAGTATGTTAATGATTTTTATTTTGAAATCTCTTTCAGGAAGATTCATGAGTTTGATTTCATTTGAATCTTCTCTGGTGTATTTATAATTTTGCTTTGAACCAGGTTCTTTTGACGTTTCATATTTTTATGTGGTGCACTGTAGTGCCCAGAAGCTCTACTATCTGGAGCTGCTGAGCCCCTGGAGCAATGTTGGGGTTTGCACGGGAGTAGTGTTGGTGCCCGGGGGGAGGAAAGAGCTGTTTCCTGCTTCCCGGCTGCTATGCCTGTCTCCACCGCCTGAACCAGTGGGCCGATCACACAGGTATAAGCCTCTGTGCTTTGCATTTGTAGTTGCTGTAGACAGGTCTTCACTCTGGCTGGCCTAACACTGGGGTAGGATTTGCCGGTTTGTGAGCCAGGTGGGGCTGTGAGGAAGGCGCAGCAGGCTGCGTATCATGGCAGGGGGCCTTGGAGGTGCATAGCCAGCTAGGGGGCTGGAGCGCCTGAAGAACGTTAAAGTTCCCAACCTGCTGGGCAGAGTGCACCCGGGCAGTTTTGTATACCTATCCTTTCTCCTGAGCAGTAAGCTCTGTGCAATTCTTGCCCCTTTAGCAGCCCTCTTGCTGTTAGGAAGTCTCTCTGACTGCCTGCCTTTCTTTTGTCCCAGAGCAGCCAGATATGGATCCCTGCTTTCCACAAGCAGCTGGAATCCCAGTCTCTCCAGGTATTTGCCTGTATTAGCTTTCCAACCCCCCTAATCTGGAGAGCACCATGAAATGTAGGTTTGTGCTCCCAGAGCAGATCTCCAGAGCTAGGTGTTCAGCAGTTCCAGGCTTCCAGTCCCTCCCTGCTCCATTTCTCTTCCTTCTGCCTGTAAGCTGGGGTGGGGGAAGGGCTTGGGTCCTGCCAGATCACGGCTTTTGTATGTTACCCTGTTCCATGAGGTTTATTCTTTTCTCCAGGTGTATGCAGTCTGGTGCAGCCCTCTTTCCTGTTGCTCTCTCAGGATTAGTTGTATTAATTATATTTTCATATTATATGTGATATTAGGAGGAAGCCTCTGTCTTACCTCTCAAGCCTCCATCTTTAATCCTGTCTCCACACAATCTTTTTAAAAAAATTTTTTTTTTATAAATCCACAAAATTTCTGATCATTACTGGGTAAAGCTGAAGGAAAAGGTCATTTTGCCTGGAGCTATTAAAAACTATTAGTGTCCTGGTCCAAAAATAAACCTGAGATGTGTATGAATTTCTTGTTTAGGTTCTTTAATATTTCATGACAATAATTCCTAAAACATTCATGTTAGAGTTTCTGAAGTAAACATTATGCAAGTAAAAATAGAGAGCAATACCAGTCCCAGTAAAGAGCAACAGGGACACTTACATGATACTAGATAATTTCTTTGGTTAGATTTTGTTACATTTAGTGCTTACCTCATGTTTTTGTGGGGGGATTAAGAGTTTGGAATTCAAGTGTTTTTAGTTTAGAGGAGATTATATAAACAAAATCTTTTCCTTATCTCTATGAAATATGACTGGAAACCTCCATTAGGCATTTATTCCCCACTTCCCCAGATTTGGAAGTCCTAAACTGACTTGAAAGAGAAATCCTAGTAACTATTTCTGAATTAACTAACAATGTCCAAGATCCTTTGTGTGGTTTTTAATACTCCATTTACAAATTCTAAAAATTCAGATAATCCAATTTATTCAAGTTTTGTTACCTTTGAGAGCTAAGTTTAGCATATCACCAGCACGGAAAGAAATTTCTTCTTCAGATACAGCAGCAAAATCATATTCTGCTCTAGCAACTACATGGTCATCCTCACCACTTGCCCAGTTGGTGCTGTCTGTAAACCAAATTAAGAATTAAGATTAGGTTAGTAAAATTTAATGAAAGGAAAATACAGATATTTCACTAGTTGTACCTTACAAACCGCATAAATTCATTTGCCAACAGCAAAGTCCCCCCACCCAAAGTAAATTCTATAATTAACCCTATGTAAAATCAACAAAATGTTCACTGCATTATCTGTTGTGCTCTTTTTCCTCTTCTTCAAGCTCAAAATTCTAGCTCCCTTATTTTAAGTCAGGGGTGGACAAATGTTTTTTCTGTAAAGGATCAGATAGTAAATACATCAGGCTATGTAGGCCATGAGGTAAAGCTGAAGGTATTGTATAGTTACTCATATGAGAGAAAACTTTTTTTCATACTTTTTTTGAAAAAACTCAAAATATAATAAAAATTAAGTTCTTTTTCTGTAATAAAGGTGTACTACTGGTAAGAATGGAATATTTTGGGGTTGGGATATTTCTCCTAATTGGGGTTCAAAGGCAGTGTTTCCTATCATCATTTCCAATTGCAGAAGTTCATCTGTTAATGCTTATTTGTAATGAGATTTAAGGTATTTCATCTTTAAAAATGTTTTCTCACACAAATAGGTACTCCCAAATCCTGAAATTATTAGTCCAATGAACATGTGCTTTTACTTAAGCATATTAATCTCTAAGAAGATGAATACAATACTGTTTAATTCTTCTTTTGATATTTACCTTTTACCAAGTCATTACATAGGAATTAAGTCATATGAAGATTATGTGGAAGTTCCTCAATAGCACCACTGAATGAATTTTGAAATATGGAAGTTTCCTTTGCACTTACATGGAGGTCCAAAACACACTGTATTCTTCCCTTCCTCACCTCCAGCTGCTCTCACTTTGCTCCATTCATGCTGGCCTCCTTGCTGTCCACACATGACATGCCAGGCACACTACCTCTTAAATACCTCGGCACTTTTGCTATTCCCTATGCCTCAAATACTTCCCTCAAATAGCTGCAGGACTTACTCTCTTATCTCCTTCAGGTAGGACTTCCCTGAGTCTATGGAGCATGGTAACCTGACTTCTGCAACTCTTCCCTACTTTGCTTTTTTCCTCTGGCATTTATTATCTTCTTACTATATATTTTACTACTTGTTCATTGCTGACTACCCCCACTAGACAGTTGCAAGAGTAGAGATTTTTTTAATCCTTTTTATTTGCTGCTATATACCCAGCTCCTAGAACTGTGTCTAGCACATAGTAAATGCTCACAAATATTTATTGAATTAATGAATAAAACATATCTAATAACCCAGATTTAAAGATCTAGGACATTTTGATTCTTCCTTTCCCTTTAAGTAACTCATCTAGCTAGTAACTTAAATCTATTACATCTGTCTTGCTTTTCACATACCTTACTTCAGCCCTTCATTTTTTTCTCATCCAGTCAAGTACAAAAGCATTGTAACTTATGTCACCAAATTAACAAATATTTATAAGCACCTAAGCAGGCTGTTAGCTTTGGGGAATATAAAGGTAGATATAATCTAAAATTATTTATGAATCTCATCATCTAACTTCAACCTGTTTTAACCTGCAATGACTTATCTTAAACACTTGAGACAGACTGACCTATTTAGAGCACTGTTTATGTGTTTGTCACAAGCCTGCTGAAAAACAAAAAATCCCACTTTCCTCCCTAGATGAAAATGAAGGGCTTTCACTATTATCTTTCAGCCTAACTTCTCAGCCATATTTCATATTATCCTTTGATTCCATGCAATAGGATATCTGAACAAATCTCACATTCCTTGCCTATGTACGCTTGTTCCATCTGTTCCACTTGCTTGTCAGTCTTTTTTTCCCCTACCTAATTGATGAAATGTCATCTATCCTTCAAAAATCTAACTTAAATGTAATTATTTATGAATCTCATCATCTAACTTCAACCTGTTTTAACCTGCAATGACTTATCTTAAACACTTGAGACAGACTGACCTATTTAGAGCACTGTTTATGTGTTTGTCACAAGCCTGCTGAAAAACAAAAATCCCACTTTCCTCCCTAGATGAAAATGAAGGGCTTTCACTATTATCTTTCAGCCTAACTTCTCAGCCATATTTCATATTATCCTTTGATTCCATGCAATAGGATATCTGAACAAATCTCACATTCCTTGCCTATGTACGCTTGTTCCATCTGTTCCACTTGCTTGTCAGTCTTTTTTTCCCCTACCTAATTGATGAAATGTCATCTATCCTTCAAAAATCTAACTTAAATGTCACTTCTTCCTGGATACCAATAGTCAAAAAATATTAGCTTCTCTTTTATAAACAGAGATAGTACTCTGTGTCAGAGTATAGAGTAGGGACTTACCAAACAGACCTGGTTTTGTTTTTGGTTCTGCCTTATTAAAATTGTGATCTTGGGCAAGTGACTTCTCTGAAACTCATTTTTGTCACTTATAAAATGAGGATTAATTCCTACCTCTCAGGGTTGTTGTAAGAATTAGATAAGATAAAATACACAAAATATATAAACATGTCTTACATATAAAAAAGGCTCAATAAACCTTTTCTCTTTCTCTGTCATATTCCTCATCATATTCTTTCTGCCTCATTACAATTACCTGTTTATGTGTTTTACCTTCCTCCCTGCCAATAAGTTTTAGAAAGAGGGGGATTATGTCCTACATGTTTGTTTCCTCCACAGCATCAAGTTCAGTACCTTGTAAACAGTAGTTAGGTAATGTGTACTGCTACACTGTGCACAAACAATGAATAAATCAATAAGCCTGCTTTTGCTACATATTCTTTCAGTTCCTAAGTTCTTAACTGAAAATATAATTGGATTAAAATATCAGATACAAATGAATATAATTATGCTAATTTAACACATCTATTCTTGAAATTTGAGACTGTTATGTGGTTCTTGAAACCACACTCTTACTCTTACCTGTTACTTCATCACTGTAGGTAGACAGCAGTTTCCAGATGAGGTAAGGACCACCAAGGATAACAGCAAAGAACAAGAATATTGGCCAAGACTTTGCTGAGTTAGCTCCTCCGTCCTCAGCACCAAGGCAAGCCATAGTTCCTTCACTTTCTGCCCACAGGTCCTCATTCTCAGAGCCTTTTCTTAAACCTATCATCCACTGTAACCGTCTGTAAAGATACCTTATGGTCCTAACTAATGCAAAAGCCGAAAAAACCTTTGTGAAGTGTATTTTTAATCGGGAAAAGTGATTTGCTACATCCAGAACAGCCCTGAAACTGTTATAGACAGCTGAAAAGGTAGCATCCATCATCATACTGACAGAGGCAAATGCATGCACAATACTTTCAATGGACTGAAATGCACCTCTGCTACTTTCTTCAGCTTGCTGAACAAATCTACTAGGTGGAAGATCATCTACACGGAGGCGGTTATAGCCTAACCCATTATATCCATAACTATAGGGGCTATAGCTTCCATAAAACGAATTTCCATAGGCACCATATCCTGAAGAAAATGAACTGTAAGCAGGTCTGAAAGTGTTCACACTGCTGCTTCCTGTCTGCTGTGATGGCCTTGGAAGAATAGGTGGGGGCACTCTGGTAAGTGTTGGTTGTCCAGGTCTTGTCAGTAAAGTAGGACCCAAATCAGCAGATCTAAAACCAAAAGATTCAAAATAGTAACTTAAGCACACAGTAAATTCAATTAAAAGTAACTGTTAAACACCTCCTATATATTGATTGTTAATGACAGATTCTACTGAAAACATATTAATAGTCTCTAATATCCATATGCTTAGAATTTCAAGGTTAAGTTAAAAATGGGTAATATAAAATAGTTGGCTGACTGAATTCTGATATTTACTGTTTACTTATGCTGGCATTATTAATAGTATCTTTAATTTGTGATTTCCTTTTAAGACACCAGTTCATTTTTTTTAGCCATGCTCACCTTTGTGGATTTCCATCTTTCCATCAGGACTCTATAAATCTACATATTCTTATTTGCTCTATAATGCCTTCAAGCAGATGTTTTCATATTCTACTTAGCTCTTCTACTTGTTCTCAACAGGGTTTTTCTTTCTCCCAAACTACATGTTCTGCCATCATCAGAAGTCCTTCCCAAAATTTTTTGTCCATACTTTGTACAGTATCTTCCATTTGTTTAAAAGTCTGTCTCTTTTTATTTAAATTTTTAATTGAGGTATCATTGATACACAATCTTATATTGGTGTCAAATATACAACACAGTCGTTAAACAGTAACTCATGCTATTAAATTCTCACCTCCTCTAGTGTGGTTACTAACTACCAAAATAGAAAGGTGTTACAGAATCATTGACTATATTCTTCATGATGTACTACTGTCTGTGTGACCAACTTATACTGTGATTGTGAATTATTGAGCCACTTTATTCCCCTTATACTCCCCCTGGCCCACCACAACCCCTCCTCCTTGGTAGCCCCTAGTCACTTCTTAGTGTCTATGAGTCTATTGCTGTTTTGATTATTATGTTTTGTTTTGTTTCCATATTTCACAAATAAGTAAAATCATATAGTATTTGTCTTTCTCCACCTGGCTTATTTCACTGAGCATAATACCCTCTAGATCCATCCAAGTTATTGCAAATGGCAGGATTTTTCTTTTTATGGCTGAATAATATCCCAATGTGTGTATGTAACACATTTTCTTTACCCATTCATCAACTGATGGACACTGGTTGCTTCCATATCTTGGCTATTGTAAATGATGTGGCAATAAATACAGGGATGCATTTATCTTTAGAATCACGGATTTGTTTCTTTGGGTAAACTCCTAGAAGTGGGATTACTGGGTCAAATCACATTTCTGTTCCTACTTTTTTAAGGAACCTCCATATTGCTTTCCACAGTGGCTGCACCAAATTACATTCCCACCAACAGTGTAGGAAGGTTCCCTTTTCTCTACATCCTCACCAGAACTGGTTATTTCTTTCTTTTGTATAGTGGCCATTCTAACTGGTGTGAAGGGGATACCTCATTGTGGTTTTGATTTGCATTTCCCTGATGATTAGCGATATGGAGCATCTTTTAATGTGCCTGTTGGCCATTTGTATTTCTTTTTGGAGCAATGTCTGTTCAAGTCCTCCACCCATTTTTTAATCTGGTTATTTGTTTTTTGGGTGCTGAGGTGTATGAGTTCTTTATATATTTTAGATGTTAATCCCTTATCAAATGAGTCATTTATTAATATATTCTCACATACTGTAGGCTGCCTTTTTGTTCTGCTGATGGTGTCTTTTTCTGTACAGAAGCTTTTTTGATTTAGTCCCATTTGTTCATTTTTTATTTTGTTTCTCTTGCCCAACAAGATATGCCCAGGGAAAAAATTGCTCATACTTATGTTCAAGAGATTTTGCCTGTTTTCTTCTAAGACTTTTGTGGTTTCATGACTTATGTTCAAGTTTTTGATCCACTTCAAGTTTACTTTTATGTATGGAGTTAGACAATAATCGTTTCATTTTCTTACATGTAGCTGTCTGTTCTTGCCAACACCAGTGATTGAAGAGGCTGTTTTCTCCCCATTGTATATCCATGGCTCCTTTATCATATATTAACTAACCATATATATGTGGGTTTATATCTGGGCTTTCTATTCTGTTCCATTGATCTATAGGTCTGTTCTTCTGCCAGTACCAAATTGTTTTGATTACTGTAGCTATATAGTAGAGCTTGAAATCAGGGAGTGTAATCTTCCTGGTTTTGTTCTTCTTTCTCAGGATTGCTTTGGCTATTTGGTTTTTTTTATGGTCCCATATGAATTTTAGAACTATTTGCTCTAGTTCATTGCAAAATGCTGTTGGTATTTTGATAGGAATTGCACTGATTCTGTAAATTTCTATGGGCAGGGTGGCTATTTTGACAATATTTATTCTTCCTATCCATGAGTATGAGATAGATTTCCATTTATTGGTGTGTTGAATTTCTATCATGAGAGTCTTATAGTTTTAAGAGTACAGGTGTTTTACCTCCTTGGTTAGGTTTATTCCTAGGTATTTTATTTTGGGATGTAATTTTAAGTGGAGTTGTTTTCCTGATTTCTTTTTCTGTGAGTTCATTGTTAGTATATAGAAATGCACCCAATTTCTGTGTATTAATTTTGCACACTGCAGCTTTGCTGAATCCAGTTACTAGTTCTAATAGTTTTTTGGTGGAGTCTATAGGGTTTTCTATGTATTAATATCATGTCATCTGCAAATAGTGACAGTTTAACTTGTTCCTTACCAATTTGGATGTCTTTTTCTCTTTGTGTTGTTTGATTGCTGCAGTTAGGATGGATCTCCAGTACTGAGTTGAGTAAAAGTGCTGAGAGTGGACATTATTGTCTTGTTCCTGATCTTAGAGGAAAAGCTTTCAGCCTTTCACTATTAAGTGTGATGTTGGCTGTGGGTTTGTCATATATGGCCTTTATTATGTTGAGGTACGCCCCTGTATTCCCATTTTGTTGAGGGTTTTTATCATGAATGGATGTTGGATTTTGTCTAATGTGTTTTCAGCATCTATTGAGATGATCATGTGGTTTTTATCCTTTTTGCTAATGTGGTGTATGATACTCACTGATGTATGAATATTATACCATCCTTGCATTCCTAGAATAGATCTTGGGATTTATTGGTCATGACAGATGGTCTTTTTGAGGTATTTTTAAATTTGGTTTGCTAATACTTTGTTGAGGATTTTTACATCTATGCTCATCAGGGATATTGGTCTATAATTTTCTTTTTTGTGGTGTCTTTGTCTGGTTTTGGTATTAGACTGATACTAGTCTCATAGAATGACTTTGGAAGTATTCCCTCCTCTTTTACTTTTTGTAATACTTTAAAAAGGATGGGTATTAACTCGTCCTTAAATATTTGGTAGAATTCAGCTGTGAAACCATCTGGTATTGAGGTTTTTCTTTTGGGGAGTTTTTTGATTACCAGTTCAGTATCATTGCTGGTGATTGGTCTGTTCAGATTTTCTGTTTCTTCCTGGGTCGATCTTGGAAGGTTTTTTTTTTCTAGGAAGTCGTCCATTTCTTATCATTCTTTCATTCCTAGAGATCCCTTTTCTCTCTATTCCTTAGCTTCATTGTGCTCTTGTTCTCTAATTTCCATCTCTTTGATTGTCTCCTCTACCTGCAGCCATCTATTTTTTTTTTTTCTAGGAAGTCGTCCATTTCTTATCATTCTTTCATTCCTAGAGATCCCTTTTCTCTCTATTCCTTAGCTTCATTGTGCTCTTGTTCTCTAATTTCCATCTCTTTGATTGTCTCCTCTACCTGCAGCCATCTATTATTCATTCCCTCCATTGTACATTTCATTTGTTACTGTATTCTTCAGCACTGAGAAGCTCTTTTTCAGATATTTGTCTCTTTGTTGAAGTGCTCCCTGAGATCTTCAATAGTTTTCTGCAAATCAGTAAGCATTATTTATGACTTTTACTTTGAAATTTTTATCAAGAAGACTGGTGACCTCCATTTCCTTTAGTCCTCTTTCTGGTGTTTCATCTCAGTTCTGTTTGGAACATATTCCTCTGCTTCCTCATTTTTTCAGGGTTTCTGTATTTCTACCTTTGTATTAGATGGATTTATTATGCTTCCTGGCATAGAGAGTAATAGTTTTATAAAGGAGGCACCCTTTGGTGCTCAGCCCAAGACTCTTTACTCTCCAGTGCCTGATTCTACTTTGCGGGAGCCTGAGTTGCTATTGGTATGCAATGGGCAGGGCTGCCTTTCTGTCTGTCTGTTTTGATCTGAGCCTTCAGTGCCAGCAGTTTAGCCACCTGTGTGATCAGAGACCTCTGCTGGCATCTTTGTGGATGGGGGTACCCTCTGCCTGCATGGCAGTGATGGCAGAGCTTCAGGGTTAATGGGATGGGTGGTGCCATTGTGGGGCTCTGAGGCAGGGTGGGATACATAGTGCTGGACCTGGATACCTGCAGGGAAGGAGCTCTGGGAGCTGGCTCCTGCAGGCACTGCCCTAGTTGGGCTGAAAAAGAGCCAAGAAAGCTGGGAGAGTCTCCCTGTGCTTACTAGGCTAAAGTCTGATGTTGCTGTCCAGCCCATTGGGTTGGCTCCCTAGCAGTGCATGCAGGAAGGCAGCTTGGGGCTGGGTTGCCCCTGAGGTGGATGGAGCACCTGGGGCTCCTAAGAGTTTCTGACCTATTGGGCCAAGGTAGGGAAGGAGAGGTATCATCCACCTTCTCTTCTCCTGAGGAGAGAGCTCCACTCAACCTTGCCCCTCTGGCACTCCTCCTGCTGCCGGCATGTCTTTCAAACTGCTGCCTGTCTTTCAAACTGCTATGGGTCTCAGTGGGACCAGCAGAGTGTGCCTGTCCTCCACAAGCAGCTGGAGTCTCAGCCTCCCAGAGTGTTGCAACTGTCCCTGGTGTTCAGCCCTGATAGTCATGAGAACCCAATGTAATGTTGACCTGTGCTCCCAAAGCAGATCTCCAGGGCCAGGTGTGCAGAGTTCCTGGGCAACTATGCCCTCCCTGCTCTGTTCTTCTTCCTCCCACTTGTGGGCTGGGATGGCAAATGTGCTTCGTCCCCCTTGATCAAGACTCCGCCACTTCACCCTTTTCTGTGCGGTCTTCTCTCCTCCCCCAGGTGTAGGTGATCTGTTTTGCAGTCCTCAG